CTGGTTTGTTTTTGGTCTGTATCCTCCCTAACTGAACAGGTGCTCTCTGAGGTCTTTGAGAAGACATGTAATAGATATGATAACGGCAGAGAGCAGTCCCTGCTTTGCAGGAAGATATCGAGGCTTTTCATGACAATTAATAATTCACATTTTCTCTCCTGTCCATCAAATACCCAGTATCCCATCTAGCCCGCTGCATTCTCTGGCTCTTTAAACAAGTTTATTTTAGGGTCCTGTGCAGTGGGCACATGTTGGTGATGGCCAGAGCATACTGTATACCATGTGTTCTTTTCACTCTTCTTAGGGCAGGATTTTAGCCACTTACACCTCCTTTCTTCACACAGTTTAAAGCAAGTGCTGGGGTTAGGTCTTCGTCTTCCTTCCTTGCTCTCCCTAGCTGCCAGGCAGTCGGCGCAAGTGGTGCCTGGTCAATGCCTTTCAGCCCAGCCCCTGCTCTGAGGCCTGGCATCTTGCCCTTTTGCAAAACAGTAAACATTCACTCACCCATGCAGACTTCAGCAAGGTCTTTGTTACTGCTCTCTGGGAAACCTTTGTGAGGCCCACAGACCGTCCAGCTCTGAGGCCCCTGAGAGCTCTGACCCAGCACTCAGAAGCTACCTTACCCTGGGTCTCTACACTCCTAGGCCCCTCACCCTGCGAGGTTTCTTGTGTCACTCTTTGGCTTTTCTTTCCCTATTGCATCCACCTGCAATGCTGGCCTGGTTGGGTTGCCCTCAAGGGCAGTGCTAAGATGTAAAAACCTGGGTATGTGCCAAAAGGGAGGCTGATTCTGAGTTATTCTTCCTCAGAAACTCAGGGCTCGAAGAAGGAAGATGTAAATGAGCATCCAAGATATGAAGCTATTGAGTGGTGACTGAGAGGTCAGTGGAGCTAGGGGTGGAGGAGAGGGAGGTGAGGTAGTAGCTGTGTGGCCAGAAAGGGATGGAGAACAACAGCTGCTTGTTCTGCCATGAAGCAAATATGGTGGTGAGGATGAGCAACTCCTCTGCAGAGCCTGGAGGGGTGGCACAGACCCCGGTGCTGCAGCCAAGTGGTCATCTGCGGACTGTCTGTGTGGCCGTAGCAGCTCACTGCGCCTCGCTCTCCCTGCCCTCTAAAATGGGTATGAGGATTCCCTTAAGGTTGTTATGAGGATTAAGTGAGCTCATACTTGGAGAAGTGCTGGCCCACTGTGAGTGTCGTGTGTGAGCTAACACATCACCTCGTGCTCAAGACCCTGAAAGGGGATCAGCCTCTTAACGGGTCTTGAAGATCTCAAACATCTAAGGGGTTTGAGGGCACTAAAGAACCTGACCACTCTGATTTCATTTTCCAGATTCTTTCTACTCCATATATCGTTTATTATCACGGAAATCATCTGCAGTTTTCTCAAGTAAATTCATCCCCCCAATTGTTGAAAACCATCCTGTCCCTCCCTGTTTATGTTAAGCATTCATTAATGTTTAGTAGTCACATTTCTTCACTGTTGGGAGATTAGGGTACCATGGCAAAGCAGTGTGCCCTCAAGATGGCTGTGGTGTCTTCTTTCTCTACTGGAGTTACTGACTGGTGGAAAAATATATTGGTTTGCATTTTCACTACATTTGTTTCAACCGAGTTTCTGCTGATAGCAGGGCTAATGTTCAGTGAAGCAGAAAGTAGCCTGGTGGGCAGAAAGAGCAAGTAAAGAAAAGAACCAGAATGATCCTTGAATTCTAAATGTTTTTTAAAGTCATCATGGTGAATTTTCACTATTCAAATGAATATGGGTACACACATTTATCAGATAACTACATAAAACAGATTACATTTCTTGCCTCCCCTTAGAGCACTTAAAACGTATGTAAATGCAAACAGAGACATGTTTTAAAGGAACAAGCCCTTGCTTTCTAAAGGTAACTGGCCCATCCTTAAATTCAACCTGTCACCTCAACAATGGGCTGGTCCAGTTGCCAACATAACGTCCCTCCTGGAAGTCACTCGGGCCTCTCAAGCCACCATGGCAAAATAGAATCCCTTATCTTTTCCTACAAACCTGCTCTTCTTCCTCTACTTCCTGCCTCAGTTAAGCGTGAACATCAGACCTGTTGTTCAAACCAGAAACAGAAGGAACACTGCTCTCCTGCTCCCACCCCCAAGCCTGTCACTTGGGACTCCTAAATTGCCTGACAATCTATACCTACTGATTCCACCTGCATCTATAAATATTGCTAAGTATCAACTATCCACAAACAGCAGCCTAAAGCAATAGTCATCTGTTTTTTCTGGTGTGTCTTGGGTCAGCTGATCTAGACCAGGCTCAGCTGGATGGCTCTTACCATGTGTCTTGTGTTTCAAGTAGGGTGACTCTTACCCACATATCTCTCATCCTTCTGACTATTCCCAGCATATTCTTCTTATGATGATGTCAGAAGCACAAGAAGCTGAAACATGTCATTGTTGTCTCTTTATATTGGAGAAGCTAAGCTTGTGGTCTGGTCCGAAGTCAGTGAGGAAATGCACTCCACCCACCTAGTGGGAAGAACTGGAGTCACATGGCAGCAAAGAAATAATGTTGAGTAAAGAACAAGGGCCAGTAATGCAATCTCATGTGCTGTCCCACCCTCCTTATCTCTTGTCTAGACTCTTCCCTTGTGCTCCATCTGCTTCCTTTGCTGACCCAAATTAAAATTAATTAAAATTTCCTAATTAAAATTTAAAATTTCCCCTTATCAATGATTGCCCCTTATCGGTAGAGTTGAAGCCCTGCTCTGTGTGGCTTCAACCCCCCTTTCTTCTACATCTGTTGCCATGTTTCAGAATTACCACCCCCTTTCCAAATGGGCTTGTTTTTTGTAGTTCTGAGCCTTCATAAAAGGTCTTCCCTCTCCAGAAGTGCTATTGCCATATTTGAGGTTACTCTAAGTGAGATGTCCTTTACCCCAAAGCTTCTCAGAGGAGGAAAAAAGTGGCTCATGCTCATATTTAACCCAAACAAATTGAGAAATACAAGCTTAGCTAGAGAGCAAGAAGGAGTTTAAATAACTCCACCTGCCCCTCCACAGTGACCATGGCAGTACTGGAAGTTAACTTTGCTGTATCCTTAGTCATCCTTAGGTTTATCCTTAGGTTCCAGAAGCCTCACAGGTTCCTGAAAGCCTGTTGTAGAGTAGAAGGTATTATCTATTGACTAGGGGTCTAGTGTTGAATGATACAAAACTGTTCTTTTATAACACAACCATGCAGCAAGCCTGGTGTTTTATCCAGTGTTCAACCAGAGGAACATCCATCTGGCTTGCTGCCTGTGGCAAGGCAGTACCTTCTCTCCTATATTGTAAATTCAAGGGACTTCCAGTGGTAATACTGTCTATTGATAATTTTTATCTCATGGTGACTTTAGACTCTAACCCCTCAGCTGGATGCTACTCTGGTGGGTTTCCTATAGGCATCTCTCAGATTGAATTTTGATTTTTTATGTCTTTGTTTCCGAACTAAACCGTGACGTTCTCATTTGTGGCTTATGGTTCTTTGAAGGGCTGCTGCCTGTGGTTGTGCAGGTTGTACACAGCACAATTCTAAGGGAACCCTGTTCACCCCAGAGCCTGTAGCACCCGTGAGTGCAGCTTCCTTATTTCCCCGGGGCCTGGTACCTATTCAATGACTGCTCAAGAAATGGGTGAATGAATGAGTAAATAGGAAGGGAGGCAACAACAAACTAAATAGTTTCTAAGTAAGATATCTTAACAGAGTTGGACTAAAATATCAGACAGGTTTTGATCCAACAAAACTAAAACCATATTATTATTGGTTCATATGATGAAATGTACCTGTAAGCCCACTTGGAATATCTTGCTCACCTACAGCAACAAAAAATTTTTTCCTGTGAGCTGAGGGAGTTTATGGTTCCTAAGAGCACATCATACCTGACGAATGCTGATGACTTGGTTGCCCTCAGCCTAACCCTTGTGGGCATTGCAGACAGTCTGTGGGCATTGTATGAAGCCAGGTTTCCATGGTGGGCAACTCCAACCCTCAGTCACATTAGATTTAACGGTTTCTTGCCTCCCCTTAGATCACATAAAACTCATGTAAATGCAAACAGAGCCATGTTTTAAAGGAGCAAGCCCTTGGTTTATATGATAGAATACACAGAATATTTGTTGGATCAAACCCTACCTGAAATCGCCGCTGTGGCCAGCAAAAAGCTGATCCCCTGGGAACATGTTCCCAGGTTAAACAGTCAGTTTCATCCTTGGAATTCGAGACTTCCCAATGTTCTGCCAGAGGACATAGGGAAGGTAGCTGACCCACTTGAGCTGTGTTGGCTACTGTGTGGCCTTGGCCCAATGAGCAGCAATACACAGGTAGTGGTGCCCCCAGCTCCCGATGTTCCACCTCTAACCGCAGCCCCAGTAGGCTCTGACAACAAGAACATGGCATGTGCCCGGGTTCTCCCCCTGTGTCTCCCACAGCAAGCTGATCATAACCAGACCACCCCACCATCCAGACACCATTGGCAGGACCCCTCGGCAGCCAGGGGGCTTGATCTTTCAGAGAGTAAGTGCCACCTGGCACAAAGCATAAGAAAGGATCCCATACGTGTTGGTTCGAGGAACAAGCAAAATTAATGAAACCAGAGGAGTGCAGGGTGCAGGAAAGATGTGTGGGATAAGGAGATAACAAATGGTGTACACTTAATGCACGTCTTTTCTGATGGCTCAGTTCTCCCTTCCAGATGAACGGACATCTAACTTCTGTGGCTGATGGAAGGTAAACTCAGCCCGATGAAGTACAGCGCAGAGGCTCTCCTAGCATTGCCCAGAGTGGGTACCATTGTAGCAGTAGTTCTTTAGTTTGGGCTTCTAGGGTCCTACAACAAAAGTTTGCACATGAACTTGGGATCAGAAAATCATAACGATCGTCACAGTGCAGTTAGAATTTAGCATCTCTTCCTGCAGGTCTTACATGTCACCCTCATGACACAGTCGCAAATTCTTTGTTTTTCTTTTATGCGCTCCCAGGTGAACTTTCTGTGGAAGAAGCACAGGACCCTTTCCTGGTTAGCATCCATATCATTGCAGACCCGGGAGAATCCCAGCCCCTGCAGGAGGCCATCGACAAGGTCTTGGCTTGGATCCACCCAGACCTCCAGCTGTTCCGGGTCTCTGAGAGGAGGGCATACCGGCGGAAGAGGAAGCCCCCCAAGGCCACGCAGCCGGCGCTGGCTGTGGTGCTCTTCCTGCAGGAGGAGTACGGGGAGGAGCAGATCTTGCAGCTGCACCGCTCCCTGCAGCGGCCGCCCTGGCGCCACCACCACACGGAGCGCGTGCCTGGCAGGCTCCTGCCCTACCTGCCCTGCAGCCAGGACTTTTTCACGCTGGCCCCAGGGACCCCGCTGTGGGCCATCCGGCCCGTGCACTATGGCAAGGAAATCGTGCGCTTCACCATCTACTGTCGCCACGACAACTATTCCGACATCCTCAAGTTCTATGAGCTGATCCTCAGGCGAAGCCCCAGCCAGAGGAAAACAGACTTCTGCATCTTCCCCATTTTCTCCAACCTGGATGTGGACATCCAGTTCTCCCTGAAAAGACTGCCCAGTGACCAGACCCCCGTCCCCACCGACTCCTCGGTGCTGGAGTTCCGAGTCAAGGACATCGGGGAGCTTGTTCCTCTCTTGCCCAACCCCTGCAGCCCCATCAGTGAGGGACGCTGGCAGACGGAGGACCACGATGGAAACAAGATCCTTCTGCAGGTACCTTGAGGAAAGTCTGTCTGTCTCTCTGTCTGTGTTGGGGGAACTGAGAAACAAGTGAGTCTCCCCTGCTGGGAACCTGAGTTAGTGGGTGCTACAGGGCAACGATAAAGGAGAGATCAGTGATGCTCAGTCTGGCTCTGAGGTCAGGTCAAGGTGTGCAGACTACCTAAACCATGAAGGGCTCTTTCGCTTCACCGTCATGGTCATGTGCTGGGTGAGATGACTACCTGCTCCTCCCCAGGGTTCTCAAAGGCTGTTCCGGGAAATACCTGTGGCCTCTGGGGATTTCAGATGCACTTAGATCCCAGGGAGCTTGTTATTCATGATTTCCGAATGTGCTCCCTCACACTTAGGGTGTTTTTACCTAGGTAAAGGAACTCCAGGAAAACCAGTCTATGGAAATTGTAAATTATTATATATGGCCATTCAGTAGAGATGATATCTATACCCATGTGTCCCTCTGGAGTGCCCCCACCCTTCTGCTGGCAGTAGGTTGTTAAAATTTGGTGAGCTCTTGAAATACTACTTTCTCATAAGTGCTTTAAGGAGTAAGTGATTCCTTCGTACTTTATGTTTTCATTAAACTTGGAAAGGGGTAAGTAAATACATTTTAATGGATGCAGTAAATTCTCCTGTTACTTGTGGTTCATGTCTTGACTTAGTTACTGAACCCCTTTCTCCTCCCGTCCTTCCACTGGTGTTCCACACTCTTTAGAGATACTCTGTTTATAGCTTTAAGGACACCCTACACTTTACCTGTTAAGTGTTTACCAAACCAAGACACTTCTGAAGTAACAGGTAAATAAGTTCTCAGTGTATGGGACTTTGGTTTTTTGGAAAATCCTCTGCCTCTGGCAGCTCAGTTTTTGCACTTGACTACCTGAAGTGAGAAAGCTAATAGTGAGTTAGGGGCCATTGTCTTGAAGGCGCTGCTTGTGATTACTTGAATCACGGATACAGTTTCATAGTTTTTTGTTAGTTTTGGCATTGCACTTCAGTACTATAATCCACAGGTCATAAAATGAAATGCGAACTTAGTATGTGTCAGATAACTGGTTAAAACTACAACCAGGCCACACTGTTGTAGAAAGGTAACCTTGAGAAAGGTAACCTTGAGATATTTGCTATTTAAAGGAACTTGGTAATTTTCAGATTTCCCTTTGAACTATCTAGATAAAGAACTATATAATAAACTTATTCAATAAATTGAATGTTAGCATTTGCTCTGTCATCCTTTTAGAAGTGTAAGAAATTTTTTTCTGTTTCTGAAGACTACCAATTCTTTATGCAAAACATAATGCAGTGGCCATAAGTAAAATGAAAGGATTTTGTTTATAATGAAAGACCAAAATGGGGCCTCCCCAGGGGCGCAGTGGGTTGAGCGCAGCGCTGTGAAGCTGTCCATAGCCTCTGCAGCACAGGTTTGATTCCTGGCTGGCCAGGGAGATACCCACATGGCACAGCAGACCTCTCCTGCCTCACCCACTGCTCCCCTCAGCAGTGTCTTGGGTCCAGCTGCCTGTTCTGCTCCCGCTCTGTCTCTGGTGAATTCTCTCACCCTCCTGCATCTCTGCCCTGTACTCAAGTTCTTGTGTAAATAAATAAATCTTTAAAAAAAAAAAAAAAAGACCAAAATGAAATTGATTGTCTCTGAAGGGATTTTTCCCCTCTTTTGCAGTAATCAGAACAGTTTTCCTCTCTTGCTCCCTGTAATAACATAAATGAAAGAACAAAGTGTGAAAGCTTGACCTGCACTGCGCTCAATGGAACCATGAAAAAATATTTTGAAGAAGATCCTTGTGTTTAAAAGGTTATAAAAAAAAAAAAACTCGTAAAGGCGCAGGCTTTTGAAGTTAGCATCAGAGTGTGAAAAGAAAGATTTGTATCTTGGTGTCAGGAATGCAATCCTTTGTTTAAAATAATAATGTGTGGAGGAATTGAATGCACACGGGCAGCAATGACCACTCGCTGCTTGTAATTCCTCATTATGGCTCTTGGGACAGGTTACACTGACAGCTCCCCTGCAGGAAGCAGCTGTCTGCTGTAGCATGAGATATACCCCTGCCCATATTTTGAAGTTACTTTAAAAAGTTTCCATCTTTAGCAAAACTAAGGTATTCAGGCCATCAGGGAAGGGATGCAGTTTAGCCATATTCTCCTTAGCAGTATGTTTTCTAAGGCTCCAGTTTCTTTTCTTTTTTTTTTTTTAAAGATTTATTTATTTATTTATATGCACACTGGGTACAGTCAGAAGCGCGGGAGGGTGAGAGGATTTACCAGAGACAGAGCAGGGAACAGAACAGGCAAACTGACGAAGTACACTGCTGAGGGGAGCAGCGGGCATGGCAGGAGAGGTCTGCGCGCCATGTGGGACCCTCGCCAGCCAGCCAGGGAACAAACTGGCACTGCAGAGGCTGCAGGCAGCTTTGCAGCCCAGCGCTCAACCGCTGCGCCACTGGGGAGGCCCTAAGGCTCCATTTTCAGCTATAATTTTCTCTAAATGATTTTGTATGGTCAGGCGGGGTTATACAGGGAAGAAAATCTTAGATGGGTAGTTTTCATTTTTTTTCTGAAAATATAGATTGCATTTTATTTTTTCATCCTGCCCTGTTGACTTATATTCCCATATTTCAGAGACTCCTCCTCCCACTTAATTCCTTTGGAGAAGAAAACCCGAGAGGCCTTTATTTCTGAAAGCGCCTCAACCTTTTATAACAATTTGAAAATGTGTTTTACTCAGACCTAAGAAGATGGAAAAAACCCATCCTCATCCTGCAACTCACCTGTCCTCCTTTCTTGGCATTGCCTGATGTAGGTAGAAAAGGCAGGGAGATAGGGAGGTGGCGGGGGGCTAGTTTTTAGCATCAGGAGTTGCTGAGATCACTCTAAAAAATGCATGTCAGAAACTTGCATCAGTACTTGATACTGAATTTTAGCCTTCAGAAGTCAAGGAGACCTGTGATTTATGAATCTTTCCACTAAATTAACATTATATTTTGAACATAATAGTTACTTTTACATTTTTATTGAAGAATATTATAAACATTATACATACTGAAAAATGCACCCACCATAAATGCACAACTCAATGAATTTTCACAAATTGAACATTTGAATTAGTAGCACCGGGGTGAAGAAACAGAAGTGAAAGCTCCCCTCCCTCAGCCCTGGCCTCCCTGCCCTGTAATGAACACACTACTCTGTACTACAGGGGAAGGAGTGCTAGTCAAAACATTGGGACTATGGCTATTACCTCTTTTTGTGTTTATATGTAGATCTCACTTTAAAAAAAAAAAGATTTAAGATGGTTGACAAAGATAGATGCCAAGGGCCTCCCTGGTGGCGCAGTGGTTGAGCGCTGGGTTGCGAAATTGCCCGCGGCCTCTGCGGCGCCAGTTCGATCCCCGGCTGCTCCCCGGCCACCGGAGGAGGGTCCCACATGGCACGCGGACCTCTCCTGCCGCCCGCTGCTCCCCTGAGCAGTGTATTTCGTCGGTTTGCTGTTATGTTCCCCACTCTGGCTCTGGTGAATTCTCTCATCCTCCCGCGCTTCTGACTGTACCCAGTGCATGTATAAACAAAACGAACAAACAAATAAATAAATAAATAAAACATGCCTCTATTAAAAAAAAAATAGATGCCAATAAGAAGTTTAATAAAAATATTGGCATACTGACAGTATTTGAAATGAAGGATAAATATGATTGGAAAGTACAGTGAACCAAGTGTTGAGGCCCAGGGCAAGTGACGGTTAATTAGGCAACTTCCGGAGCAGCACAGGCAGGGACTTTGGGAGAGTTAAGAAAGCTGCTGAGATAAGGACAGAGACATCCAGGAGGGCTAATGAGGGCAGTAAATTTTAAGGCTAATAAGGACAGTAAATTTTAAAAGACTTGGACAGGGGCGGGGAAAGAAAGACTAAGTAAGAAAAGAGCTGTAAAGCTGGACACAGCTGCCCGGGGAAGTACAGCCACTGAGGGCCAGTCACAGAGAGGATGATTAGATTTTATAATAGAGAAAAAAGATTTAAATACCTCCCAGACACTGGCTCATTCAGCTTCCTTGCCCCTCCCTGGCCTGGTTCAACCAGCCTGCGAGTCCCACTTTATTTCTGTTCCTTTTCTCCTTAATAAACTTTACCTTAGCTCTATTTCTTTAAACAAATTTGCCTCTTTTCACTTGCTTTCCTGAGCGGCAGCAAAGTTCCTGCTGTGGCTTTGTGAGATACCAGCCAGTGGTGGTCTAGTGGCTGGGGCTCAGCACTGCCACTGCAGCCTGGGATCCTGTAGGGTAAATGGTTTTTCAGGCTTTTCTGCCCTCCCACCATTAGGATTGCCCTGCCTGATGGGGCACCTGCAGTTGTTACATTATTGTAAACTGTGTTGTTTACTTCTGTGGGCCATGGGAGGAGTATTGAGATAGTCCCTCACCAAGAGAAGAAGCAGAAGAGGCAGGAGAGAGAAGGGGAGAAAGAACACCAGGGAAGCCCAGAGTGAAGACTTGCTAGGGGAGGTCTGCCAGTGTTACAACTTAGTCCATGCCTGCCATGCACCTGGTTGCTGCACTACATGTAAAAGCTCAATAAAAGCCTGAGAAAGCCACCAAGGGCTCCAGGATTCTCCTTTACCCCTTCTGCCGGATCAGAAAACCTGCCCTGTCCCCATCCTGCCACTACAGATCCATTCCTACCTGGGAGACTAGGTCTGAAAAGCTGAAATTAGGGTATCAGTGTGACCTCGAGAACGCTTGTCATTTCCTGTCTGTTCTGTTGAGTTGTGCTGTTCACTCGATAGCCACTGGCTATGTTTGCACATTTCAACTTAAAATTTAAGATAATTAAATAAAATACAAAGCTCAGTTCCCCTTGCCTCAGTAGACACATTCCAGGGTCTCAGTAGACACATGCAACTAGTGGCCACCATATTGGAGAGCACAAATACAAAATATCTTCTCAGAAAATTTTGAACAGAATTGCTCAGAAATAGTTTCCAAATTTG